AACTTTAATAATTACTTTTATAGTAACCAAGCAAGCATCATATCTCAAGTATGTGATCATTTGCACTTGTTACCTCTTAATGTGGATGCAACTTATTAAAAAATATTGTCCTGGGTATTTCAAAGTGTATATATAAAAGGTAAAAACTAGTGTGCCAAATAGTATAGGAACAACTGTACTTTTTTTGATCAGTTGGCATGAAGCCATAAAATTAAATTTTGGCTTTAGAATACAGATGTGTTTTTTACATTTCCCAAGGGTCAAATTGGAGCTTTTAAAGAATTAAAGCTTCTCTGACCATGTGGTTTAATAATTAAATTATTAGCAATTTATTATTTTAAATATTTGAGCTGATTAGTTGTTAATTTTTTGGGTGGATTAAAAAAAAAACTCACTGACCTAATCTCCCTGGTGCAAACTTGGGTAATATATGTAAGAAATGGCAAATAAATACCTTAGTTAATAACTTTTTATGTAAAAATTTGACAGCATTACAAATTAAGTGACCATTAAAAACACAGGAATCATTCATACTGCTTTGATAGGTGTTATGATAGTCTCTGATTAACCAGTTTAGTGTTAATATTTTACAAGTGTTGTCCTGTTTCATATCTTTGAAGTAGTAGTGAAATTGTAGGCCATTTTCTTATTGCTTTTCACTTACTTGTCAGTTAATTGTTCCTCTGAAAAGAAAATACAGCAGAACCTCACTGTAGCATTCTTTACTGCAAAGCAAAATTCCATTTAAGATGGACTTATCTGAGGTCCACATCATGACAGTTCATGTACTCTTGTGCCAAATGGAACACCACCTCTAAAGCGGTTTCACAGCATAGTCCCCTGCAACATTATACCAAGGCTCTGATATATTTCTTTTAGTAGTTTCTAAGTGTAAAATTTATTCTAAATGTTTTTATGCTTATTATCTATTTCATCAGTTATTGAGTTCAGATGATTTTCATTACTTGAATGGGATTTGTGATTTAATGACAATTGAATAATCAAAAATATTTTATTAGTCCCCCAAAATTTAATAGATAGCTATTTCTGTTAAATTTTATTACTGTATGGCAAAAGAAAGAAGTGACATTGGGTATGTTAGAAATGAAATAAGGAGGAAAAAGGCATTACCATTTGTTTAATAATTATCTTTACAGAATGCTAGTTTAATGACTTTTTTAACTGAATTTTTTTAATACTTCAGAAATGTTTGTATTGGTCACAGATCTATCATAATTCGTTTTCTGATGCATTTAAAAATAAATGGAACACTTATATGTATATTACCGATGCAAACTGTGGATAAAGTTGAAAGAAAAAATTTAAGTCCAGAATTTCTTTTCTCCCTCTCTACCTCCTCTCTCAGCATCACAACATTCATTTGTTTTCAGCATTTGATAGATTTTGTCTGTGTTCCCTAGTGTAGAAAAATAGCCAGACTTTGAAAGAATATTCAAAGTAAGTGGTTTAAAGGTTCAGATTCACTTTATATTGTGAAAGGAAATAAAGGGGCCCCAAAGTCAATAAGCTAAAGGAAAAGGTCAAGCTGGGAACTGCTTAGGGGAAACATACCTCCCATTCTATTCGAAGTCACTCCTCTGCTCACTGAGATGAATGCATATCTCATTGCCTCCTTTGGAGAGGCTAATCAGAAATTCAAAAGAATGCAACCATTTTTCTCTTATCTACCTATGACCTGGAAGCCCCCTCCCACACTTCCAGTTTTCCCACCTTTCCTAACTGAACTAATGCTTGCCTTACATATGTTGATTGATGTCACATGTCTCTCTAAAATGTATAAAACCAAGCTATGCTCAGACCAAGTTGGACACATGTCGTCAGGACTGCCTAAGGCTGTTTCGCAGGCACCATCCTCAACCTTGGCAAAATAACTTTCTAAATTAACTAGGACCTGTCTCCTATATTTGGGGTTCACATTTGATAATCATGAAGGGATTTTGAGTTGGAGGTACCCCTGACCTTTGACAAATCTCTTATTGATGCTTGGTACCAATATGAGCTAACTGTAAAACCAACAGGACAATTTGCTGAGGTCTGGGAGCACCTCATCCAGAGAATCCCTGATCTCCCAAAATTTGGTCAAAATCTAAAGTTTATTTTGCTGTACGATTCCCTTTTTTGGAGTTTTACTTGCTTCCAACAGGGAAGGCAAGATTTCCTGTTTCCATGACAATGGAAGACAGGTAATTCCTTTATGGAGTCTGAGCTGGCTCCCAACAGGGAAGATGGGTTTGAATTTTTTCCTGCTTTTAGGATGGTAGAGAGCAGTCTTCATCCTGAGACCCATCCCTAGGTAAGTAACTGAAACGGAGTTTTGATTTGGCTAAAGTTAACAACAAGCTGGTTTTAATTTCTCCTTCCCATTAGAGTGCTCACTGATCATATTGTTGAGTTTTGTTGTTGTTGTTGTTTGTTCTGGTCTTTCTCCCATCAGATTTGATTAACTCTACCCAATTTGCTCAAATCCGAGTGAGAATTCCAAATTATGGGTAAGAAGACCTCTCTAATTTATCTAAAATTCCTCACAGCTGCAAAAGAGGAAAAAACAAAAACAAAACAAACTGTGCACTTGGTTTCTGTGTTTGCTTCCTGACTTGAAAAAACAAATGTTCTTTCATTTACTTTTCTTCCACTCTGCTTTGCTATTTGCAGTACCAAAATAAACAAAAAAATCTAGAGAAGGCTTCTAATGACTTGAATCCCTTTAAAAAATTCAGAAGAAAGGCCTCACTCCTTTTGGGGTGTTCTGTTTTCTTTGTGGAGTTTCAAGAGTCATGGGCAGATTCTTCTTAGGTCTAAACTCTGTTTTCCTGTATTGCATACCTGACTGCTTTGGCTTTGGGAGTTCCCGAGATGACCTTATACTCTGAGAGGATTTGACCTTGGTGTGTGTAATGGTGGATGAGAGCGACAAAATTAGGGGTGGCTGAGCACAGTGTACAGGAAGTGGTCTTGGCTGTTGTTTCCCTTTTCCTAGGAAGTTGTTGTTTAAGGATCCTAATTCTAGTTTGGAGATGCATTCTAAAGGGTCTTCTCTATTGCTTTTTCTCTCAAAATTAATTTTGATTCTGCTTGTCTTTGTGTATTTGTGTGATGAACTGAACTGCTTTTTCACAGGTAAATGAGAGACTGAGTTTTTTTCAGCTCCAAAGAGATTTGCAGCAGCCCTACAGGGAAATCCCTAGCAAAAAATTAATTTTAAAAAAGGGTTGTCTGGGAAATGCATATAAGGGCTGATAATCCCGCATTTTGAGTCTTCTCAGAGGTAACAGACCTCGGGAAAGAGAAACAGAGACACATAAGAGGGTGGAAATGACTCTGTAGTGACACACTGCGGAGTCCTGATCACAAGCCACACACATTGATCCACCACACAAAAACCTTAGATCACAGCTCAGTTCTTCCTTTTAAGAAAAAAATGTGGGACACCAATAATCTAAGAATGAGGAGAAAACAAAGAAAATGACCCCCTTTCGAGCACTCTATAGGTTTTATGGCACCTCTACTTCCCAGAGTTTATGTAAAATTGCAGTAATACAGTCTTTGTGCACATTTGCATTAAGGAAAAAGAGCCCTAAGGTTGACCTGCAAACTATAGCTGCCTGCTTTAAATCTGCTGTTATTTTTCTAAGATAAAAGCTACTGTTTGGATCTAACAGTCTTGTTTTTTCTTTTTAATTTTTGTTTTTGCTTTTGTGAGCCAGTGACTTTGTATTTATCTCATGGCTAAAGTCCTAAAATAAAAGCTGTAGGATCTCTCTCTCTCTCTCTCTGTCTCTCTCTCTCTCTCTCCCTCTCTCCCTCTCTCTCTCTCTCTCTCTCTCTCTCTCTCTCTGTGTGTGTGTGTGTGTGTGTGTAAAGGCTTTTATAATTTCTATATTTTTATGTTTAACTGGCAATTAAATCCATGTTAATTTCTCTCTAGCACACCAGACTTTTTCTCTCCATACCTTATAATGTAGATTTTGCTATTTGATTTTTGCTTTAGTTGTTTCCTTTAATATGAATGTTTAAGGCTATTTAGCTGATAACTGCCTATGGTAATGAAATAGGTTATCAAGAATTTGAAAATCTAAGATAGGAAAAAATGTCTTTATGTATCTGTAAGATGTACTTCTATTACATGCCTATACATCTTTGTATTTATGTGTTGTGTATACTATGTTTCACTACTGAAAATATATAAAAGAGCTCTTATAGCCTAAGCAAATAAAAGTGCTCAAATCAAATACCTTATCATGAATAAAAAGAAAAGACTAGTCAAATGATGTTTTCAAGTTTACATAACTTCAGTAAAATCATTAATAAATAAGCTAGCTTTAAAATCATTGGTAAAGTAATATTTGAAATGTCTGAAGAATTGCCAGCATACACTTTTGTTTGCATTTATTAATCAAGCAGTTTATACTTATCCCTGCCAAATACTATAAGCTGTCAAAATTTGTCATAGGAGTTACAAAACTATAAACCTAACCCAAAACAGAATGATCTTTCCTTGTGTAATTTTTAATAAATAAGACATTGATATTGGTTTAATGAAAATAGCTATAGCTTGAATTTAGTAGGATTACCATAACTTCTACTCTTGTGGTTTCAGGCAATCTAGTCAACAGGGAGTAACGTTTGTTTTTGGAAAGGACTGTTACAATTTTTGTTTCAAAGCTAATCTATAAACTAAGTTCCTCCCAAAGTTAGTTTGTCCTATGCCCAGGAATGAACAAGGACAGCTTGGAGGTTAGAAGCAAAATGGAGTCAGGTCAGGTATTTTTCAGTGTCTCAGTTATAATTTTGCAATGGCAGTTCCATAACTTTCAATGATGACTATTACAGTTTTCATAAATAATCTAGGTAAAATGATTAAAATAATTAGGTAAATGTAATGAGATAAATACTTGTAGACAAAAATCATCATAATTTAGAATCTAAAGTTATACTGAGTTAAATAATAGGTGTTTTATTATTTGAGTATTTTCCAATAAAATGTATTGTAGGAAAACATTGTTTCTAAAAATAAGAAAAGTGTATCCTTTTGGAAAAAGTGAACAATTTTTGTCTAACTCAAAGCTTATTTAAAGGTTATGTATAAAACAAGGTAAAAGAAACTAGGAAATAAGAGAGATGTACAGAAAGTTATAAAATGAAGAGAGGTTTTTTTTGTAAGAAAGTTTAAAGAGAAATAATTTCATATGAGAAGTCTTTTATGATAAATTTAGTCCTAGAATATAATGACAGGTTGTTTAAGAGGGAGGGATGTTCAGGACAAACAATTGAAGCACATCAGGAATGGTCTTTGTAAGTCACAATAAGAGGATTTATGAAAAAAAGAAAACAAAAAACTTTTATATGATCAAGTTGTCTATAATTAAAGAGAAATTATAATGGTCTCTATGGAGATTGGGCTTGATGTAAAATAGAAACACACTTATACACTACATAATTGGTTAGAACAGTGAAACTTTCTTAAGTGATTTACTCTTCATAAATTATAAGATATTTTAATTTTTTTAACACAAAGGTCAACTTTTATTGTATCTTGCTGTTTTCCTTTTTTTTTTTTTTTTTTGAGATGGAGTTTCACTCTTGTTACCCAGACTGGAGTGCAATGGTGCTATCTCGGCTCATCGCAACCTCTGCCTCCTGGGTTCAGGCAATTCTTCTGCCTCAGCCTCCTGAATAGCTAGGACTACAGGCACACGCCACCATGCCCAGCTAATTTTTGTATTTTTAGTAGAGACGGGGTTTCACCTTGTTGACCAGGATGGTCTCGATCTCTTGACCTTGTGATCCACCTGCCTCGGCCTCCCAAAGTGCTGGGATTATAGGCGTGAGCCACTGCATCCGGCCTGTTTTCCATTTTTTAATCCCCTTTTCAAGGGCACAAAATAGTAATACTCTCCTTCAACTCATATTCAGCTCATATAAGACTTCCATGGGTTCTGTTTGTTGTGGCCTGATACAAATAATGTTTTCTTAAAAGTGTAAAGGAAATGTTTTTATATAGCATAATATTCTGTACAGTGCAGAAGACCTTTTTTTTTGCCTTTAGGTTACTGGCCTAACAGATTTTATATTTTATTGAAACAATTTATATGCCATTATTATTAAGTTTTGGTTTGCTTTGAAAAAACTGAGATTAATTTTTTTTAAATTAAAGTTGTTACATCCATGCATCTCTCTATATGTGCTTTTAAATTCATTGTGACATTGAGTTACAGGGCTTTGACTCCTGGGTCTAAAAAGGACACCAAGTCCTGCTAAATGTTAAACACTGACAATAACTAAAGCCTCATCTTCAGGCCTGATAGAAGATTTCAATCAAAACAAACTGAATTCTTGAGACACAGGGCCAGAAATTAAAGCTGTTTCACTCCTCAAGGCCCAGGGACTATTCGCAAAAGGGGTGGGCATGTGAGATTATAAAGGCCAATTTTGAGAGAGAAAATAAATTCAGTTTCTCTGTAAATTAATCATTAATGTCAAAGACACACTGATGCAAGACAAGCATATAGGCTCCTGTGTCAGATTATCAAGGTTTTCTTCAAGCATTAACCAACTTCTTAATAAAGGTTTTAAACGTTATAAAAGACTTATAGAAGTTATAGTTTATGGTCAACATTAAAATTGTACAGATTGTTTATAGAAGTTTGAAAAACAAACGTAATTGGCTTCATGCTGTTTTGATTAGGGCTTATTGTTTAGAAAATTAAGTCTCCTCTCTCAAATAATGAATATTTCTGCATTTTTTGAAATCCTTGAGTTATACCTGTGGTCAAATGAATGACTTATTTTCCAATGACCTGTGATCCTATTTTGTGATATCAAGTGTTAAACCTTTGATATTTGACAAACTTTCCAAAATCAAATTATAAATAATGTCTTTTCTAACCTAATTAATCCTTTAACATATTAGATTCCCTAAAGACCAAAAATGACATAATTGAGCTTATTCATTATAAAAATTATACAGGAAGCATTGTCAGATATGAAATGGTGTTTGGCTATCTTTGGGCTGTATTTGTATAAATATGTTACTGGTACGTGTTCCAAAATTATGGGAAACTCTTAAAACTCTGATATGATTTAGTGTACATTATCAGTATTAATTATAATTGGTGTTAAATTATTGTCTGCCACAGAGGTCACATATTTTCTTGTCAATTTTGTCTTTAACTATGGCTGCCCTAAAACTTTTTGTCATCCGTGGTCAATTGTTGTTTTGTCTTGATCCTCTTTGGCAGGTGTTTTTAAATCAGTGTAAAACTCTAGCAGGTGCTTTTGAATGCAGGTTTCTGATGACTTTAGAGGCTATGGCATCAGAATAGAGGAAAAACTTTCAGGACTCATGGAGAGCTGAAATGTTCATAAATATCAAGCAAAACAGGAATTAACTGTATGGACTGAACTAATAGAAGACTGAAATAATCTTAACTTTTTGCGTAAAACATTGCTGATTTTTTTTTGTTTTTCAGAGTCAAAGAAACCTTTCTTTTGAGCTATTGACAGCTTTTAAACAATTTAGTGTACACCTATGAACAAAACTTGGAGCATATTTGTTTCTCTCTACCTGATTTCTCCAGAATTGGAAGCTATTTGTAAGTATTCTTAACTTTTGGCAATGTAGTTATTTACATAAGTGCAATAAGAATCTGTTTTTATTTGTAACAAGACACAATTGGAGAAACTGATTGTTTTACTAAGGCTTTGAATGGAATGGTGTGCTTTCCTTTAAAGAATCAAACTTGACTTATGGAGTCCCTTGGGAAAACTGACATCATACCAATGCCTGTACAGGGTTTCTGACCTGTGGTAAGTAAACAATGTCACTTTCTGACAGGCCCAGGAGCCCCAACTTTATCTTGGAACCTCAAGAGGAGAGGAATTCACAAAACCCATAGGTATTTGATAGTATAAATCCATGGCTAGGCTGGGATTTTAAAAGGTCTTATCTGAGATTCCTTCTATGGAATAAAGTTCCATCAAAACCACTGTAAAAGCCTATGTAATAAAATAATTATTCTTGCTGCACTGTTTGAATAATTAGTCCAAGTATAATAAAGCAAATTAATCCTACCATGCTTTGTCTTTAGTAAAAATGGGAAATTGGAGAGAGAAAAATTATGTTTCAAAAATTATAGTACCTCTGTTGTTAGACTCTAGCCTTGCCTAATGTTTTTCAATTTTTATTATTTTCCACAGTTTGTACTGAATTCTAATTTTTCTTGGATACAAGTCTTTAAAACAATGCTTTCATTTTTTCCCTTCTTTTTTCCCCCCATTTTTCCTAATTTGGGGTGACTGAAAAATAAGCTGTGCTTTTGTAAAGCCCTGCATACTGAAGCTAAACTACTTAATCTTCAAAAGAAAATAACAGCAACCTATTTAAATACATAAGCCACTTTCATGCCTGCCTACTGATGTATGGACTTCAGAGCAATGTGACCTAATATCAGTTTTCAGGATTGTTCTTTTATTTGTATTGTTTTTCTCCCTTCCTCCCCGTTTTCTCTTCATAGGACATGAGTCTTTACACCCTGCTAAAAATGAGCTTTCCTAAGAATTCAGGACTATCTTAGCCATGAGACATCAGACGAGACCTAAGACCAGAGTTCTTAGGCCAGAGATTATGTTCTTCTAAAATGTTTTCTCTAAGAGATTTTAAAAAACAAAAGAGGGAAAATGTGAAAGGAAAATAAATCTTGGGGCCCCAAAACCACTAAGTGAAAGGGAAAAGTCAAGCTGGGAAGTGCTTAGGGCAAACGTGCCTCCCATTCTATTCAAAGTCACCACTCTGCTCACTGAGTTTATCTCAGTGATAAATACATATCTCAGATATGTATTTATTACATATCCGATTGTGTCCTTTGGAGAGGCTAATCAGACACTAAAAGAATGCACCCATTTGAATCTTATCTGCCTTTGACCTGGAAGTCCCCTTCCTGCCTCCAGTTGTCCTGCCTTTCTGGACTGGACTACTGTTTATCTTACATGTGATCATTGATGTCTCATGTGTCCTTAAAATGTATAAAACTAAGCTGTGCTCTGACCACCTTGGGCACATGTCATCGGGACCTCCTGAGGCTTTGTCATGGGCACATGTTGTCAACCTTGGCAAAATAAACTGTCTAAATTAACTGAGACCTGTCTTAGATATTTGGGGTTCACAGTATGTTATTTTCAGTAGGTAATATTTTCTTTAGAAACAATTTTTATAATATCTTTACCAAATAATATTGCCTTTATGTAAGATCAACTATGTAACATAAATATAAGAGAACTTTTTTCGTTTTCTGTTTTTTTGAGATAGAGTCTTGCCCTGTCACCCAGGCTTGGGTGTAGTGGTGCAATCTCAGCTCACTGCAATCTCCACCTCACCAGTTCAAGTGATTCTCATGCCTCAGCCTCTTGAATATCTGGGACTACAGGCCAACAACAGTGGCTCAGCTAATTTTTGTATTTTCAGTTGAGATGGAGTTTCGCCATGTTGGCCAGACTGGTCTTGAACACCTGGCCTCATGTTACCTGCCCACCTTGGCCTCTGAAAGTCCTGGGATTACAGATGTGAGTCAACACACAGCCAATATAAGAGAACTTTATGTGAAACAAATTTAGAATAGGTAAAATTGTGATTTTTTTTTTTTGAAGACAAGAGTCTTGCTCTGTCACCCAGGCTGGAATGCAGTGGAGTCATCTTAGTTCACTGCAGCCTCCACCTCCTGAGTTCAAGCAGTTAGTAGCTGGGACCACAGGCGTGTACCATCACACCCAGCTGATTTTTGAATTTTTAGTAGAGATGTGGTTTCACCATGTTGGCCAGGCTTGTCTCGAACTCGTGACCTCAGGTGATCTGCCTGCCTTGGCCTCCCAAAGTGCTGGGATTACAGGTGTAAGCCACCAGGCCCAGCCAATTGTGATTAATTTTACTGCAGTTTTAGTGAAAGGTATACTGTTGAATTGCCATTAAGCTATGTGATTAAAAAAACTAATATTTTTTTAAGTTAAATTTAATATTTAAAAATCCACATATTTTATTAAAATAACTACTATTTATTTGTAATTGTGATTTACCCTGCAAGTAGAAAGTCATCCAGGTAAATGTTATTAAAGATAATATTATTCCCTGTTCTATAGTTACCCTAAACTTTCAGATTTAAAGAAGTACTTAAGTAAGTAAATATTTGGTGTGAGTTGTTTGAAAACAATTCTAAGTTTATTACAGAATTTTGAATTATTTTTAGATAATGATACTGAGCTGGTTTGTTCTTTAGTAAATCTATAGTTTTGGTATGCTACATGGGATGGTCCTAGAATTCTCAGGAACCTATCCCACTATTTAGAGCACTCCAGGGTACTGATACATTACTGTATATTAGATTCATGTGGAAATGCCCAGATATCTTCTGGAATTGGTAAATTGGAAAATATCGAAAGTTGTCTTTTTCTTAAGGCACAAACTTTTCTAATCCTGCATTTTAAAACATGAAAAGTATCATTATGCTTACAGTGTTTAAATAGCTTAGAATTTCCACAGTAGTATGTGTGTGTGTCTGTGTGTGTGTGTTTCATGTAAGGCTCCATTTGTTTTAGTAAAATAGAATATTAATGCATTGGAAAACCAGAGTTTAGAAGTTATGAGAATTCTTACACAAAGAGTTTAGGATGGAAGGTTGATTGAATAATTTGAAAGTTACTAAAATAAAAACAGAAGTTTCTTTAAAATGTGATCATTTTAAAATTTAAATTATTGCATAATATTTTTCTCATTTCTTGGATACTTTATTTTGAGTATAAATAAAATAAATAAAATAAATTTATTTTTACTCTATTCCATTGATATGTATCAATTAATTATCTACCTAAATCGGTGAGAAATGTATTGGGTATATATATGTAAATGATAAATAGAAATAAATTTTTCAATAGCAAACTGAATGTTATAAAACTTTAGATATCTTATTAATTTCCAATTCAAATAAATACAAAGTGATTCTGTATAATTTATGAAGTAGTAATTTAAATGATACCTTAGCACAGTGATTCTTAAACTTTGGATTTTAAGAAATCCATATGGATCAATATGGATCACCTAGGTATTTTGTTAATGAAGTACAGGTTGATTCAACAGGTCAAGCGTGGGGTCTGAGATTCTGCATTTCTAACAAGCTTCCAAGTGATGCTGCTCTGGTAGCCAACTTGAATAATAAAGCCATATAGTCCTTGAAGTGCTGTAGTAATATCAATTTACTGTATAATAGTATAGTATTTTGATACTTTAAGTGATGTTTTATGATCTTAACATTTTTAAATCTATTCTGAAATGTGTTCTACTTTATTATGGGCTTTGGGATTTTCTTTATGGTTTAAAAAGGTATACTTTATGTTGTGATTAGTACTGTCTCACATTTTCATTTCTGAAAAATCATTTTAAACACACACAGCTGAGTAATTTTCAAGATAAATGAAACTAGTCACAGGTATGTGTGATTATAAAATGGTCATATATATCTAAATAAGATAAATTAACAAATGTAATATTAAATTAACAAATATTAAAACAATATTTGTTTTATTACATCTTTTTTTGGAGTACTTAGAAAACTACATTAATTTTTTTATAGTCTTGATGTCAATCCATTTTCTTGCTACACTTGCTTTTAAGTTGAACACATAATCATTCTTTCAGGATACCATGTTAAATATAGACCATATACAAATAAACTAATAGATATTTAACATAACAGTTACGTTCTATGATCAGAGCTTAATTTTGAGGTACATATAAATTTTTCCTGCTCACAAAACAAATGAGAAAATCGATTTCCTTCATTCTTTTTTTTCTAAATAAATATTATTTATTTAAAACATTTGGAATCATTTTACTCATTTTAATAGCTTTTCAAAGGTTCTGGATAAACTGCTAGTTAGAAAACAAATTAAGATCTAAGTTAGCCTGAAATGCCAAAGGCAGTCAAATGCCTTTCGTGGCAAGATATGACTCATTTACTTTGACAATAAATGGAAATATTAATAATTAAATTTGAAAAGGAAAAGCACCGACACGTGAAACATTGAACTAGAACCTTTTGGTATAATCGAATTATAAATAATAAAACATATCTTTATGTTTGTTGTTCATAGTCTTTAACATCTAAGATTAACAACTGAGTAGAAATGAGTATTATGCTATAACTCAAATTTTAAAATCCTACATACTTGGATATAATCATGGTTAGTAGTGAATAAAATATATTTATAAATATACATTTTAAAATATGGGCATATTTTTAGATATTTTGTACCATCAAAGTTTTCAGTTTTTCATTGTGAAAGATAAATAATAGTTTGTGATACTCCTAGGTATAATAAAATTTTTAAAACCATAAAAGAATTTTAGAATTTGGGTATTGCCATGTTTTTATTCTTCAGGCTAGGAAGCTAAGGCCCAGAAATATGATTTGAACAATTATTTAAGGACTGAACTTTTTTGTAATCATCCCTGGATTATATACCTACTGTACTAAAACTTACTTTGTATGTGTGATTTTTGTTTTTTTTTCCAAGTCTTTAATTTTAAAGCTTTTATTTATGGCTGTTTGTATGCAGTATGGTAACATTATACTCCGAAAAAATAATTCTGAATTAGTTAATTTAAACACTTTTTTGAGCTCTTACTACATACCACGTATTGGTATTGCAGGCCTTGTGGGTATAGTGATGAATAGGACATGGTCTTTTTGTTGAGAGCTTTACAAAGGAATTCAGTTGCTGCTTTCTGGCTGCTGCATTAAAGTAGATATATAATCAACATTTATAATATTAAATTTTATTATTGAAATTTATCATTGGCCAGGCATGGTTGCTCACGCCTTTAATCTCAGCACTTTGGGAGGCTGAGGCAGGCAGATAACTTGAGCCCAGGAGTTCAAAACTAGCCTGGGCCACGTGGTGAAATCTCTTCTTTACAAAAAATAACAAAAGTTAGCCTGGTGTGGTGGTGCACATCTCTGTGGTCTCAGCTACTTGGGTGGCTCAGGCGGGAAGATATGTTATCCCAGGGAGATGGAGGCTTCAGTGAGCCATGATTACAGAGTAAGACCCTGTCTCAACACAAGGAAGAAGTTTATTATTCTTATTTCTTACATTTTGAAAGCAGTTTTTTTTTTTTTTTTGAGACAGAATCTCTCTCTGTCACCAGGCTGGAGTGTAGTGGTGCCATCTTGGCTCACTGCAACCTCCACCTCCTGGGTTCAAGCGATTCTCCTGCCTCAGCCTCCCGAGTAGCTGGGATTACAGGAGTCCACCACTACGCTTGGCTATTTGCAAGCAATTTTTAAAGTTTATGTCTCAGTACTAAACATTATAATTGAGTATTTATTGCTCCTAGTTGGTTCTAACAGTTACTTTTTTTGAAAAATAATTTTATGTTTTATTTTTCCATTTTTCTCTAGCTTTATTGAAGTATAATTGTCAAATAAGAATTGTATATATTTAAGCTATACAACCTGATGTTCGATATATGTATACATTGTGAAATGATAACTCTTGTCAAGCTAATTAGCATATCCATTGCCTCAAAGTATTACCTTTCTTTTTTGGTGGTGAAAACATTTAAGATCTATTGTCTTGGCAAATTTAAAGTATACAATATAATATTACTAATTATAGTCGCCATATTGTTCATTAGATATCTAGAAATGCTGCATAATTAATATTGTTCATTAGATATCTAGCACTTATTCATGTTGCACAAAACTTTGTGCCCTTTGAGCCATTTTCCCCAGCTCTGAACCCTGAAAACAACTGTATCTGTTCAGGATGCTATAGCAGAATACCATATAACTTTTGTAGCTTATAAATAGCATAATTTTATTTTTCAGAGTTTTGGAGGCAGAGAAGTCCAAGATCAAACCACAGGGAGACTTGTTGTCTGGTAAGGGCACACTTTCTGGTTTATAGATGGTGCTTTCTTATTGTGTCCTCACATGGTAGAAGGGGCAAGCAAGCTCCATTGGGCCTCCTAACGGCACAAATGTCATTCATGAGGGTTCCATCATTTTTAAAAATTTAATTTAATTTTAAGTTCTGGGATACATGTACAGGATGTGTAGGTTTGTTACATAGGTAAACGTGTGCCATGGTGGTTTGCTGCACCTATAAACCCATCACCTAAGTATTAGGCCCCACATGCACTAGGTATTTATCCTGATGTTCTTCCCCCCCACCCCTCACCTCCTGAGAGCCCCAGTGTATGGTATTCCCCTCCCTGTGTCCATTTGTTCTCATTGTTCAGCTTCCACTTATAAGCAAGAACAGGTGGTGTTTAGTTTTCTGTTCCTGCATTTGTTTGCTAAGGATAATGGCTTCCAGTTCTGTCCATGTCCCTGCAAAGGACATGATCTCATTCTGTTGTGTGGGTGAATAGTATTCCACGGTGTGCATATACCACATTTTCTTTATCCAACGTATCATTGATGAGTATTTGGGTTGATTCCATGTCTTTGCTATTGTGAATAGTGCTGCAGTGAACATACACATGCATGTATGTTTATAATAGAATGATTTAGATTCTTCGGGTATATACCCAGTAATGTGAGATGGCTGGGTCAAATGGGATTTCTCGGTCTAGGTCTTTGAGGAATCGTCACAGTGTCTTCCACAATGATTGAACTAATTTACCTTCCCACAGACAGTGTAAAAGCATTCCTATTTCTCCACAACTTTGCCATCTGTTGTTTCTTGACTTTTTAATAATCACCATTCTGACTTGCACGAGAGGGTATCTCATTGTGGCTTTGATTTGTGTTTCTCTAATGAACAGTGAGGTTGAGCTGTGTGTGTGTGTGTGTGTGTGTGTGTGTGTTGGCTACATAACTGTCTTCTTTTAAGTCCATTGCCCACATTTTAATTGGGTTGTTTCTTTTTTTCCTGTAAATTTTTCTAAGTTCCTTGTAGATTCTGGGTATTCAACCTTTGTCAGATGGACAGATTGCAAAAATTTTCTCCCATCTGTAGGTTGTCTGTTCATTCTGTAGGTTGCCTATGTCCTGAATAGTATTGCCTAGATTTTCTTCTAGGGTTTTCATAGTTTTGAGATTTACATTTAAGTCTTTAATCCATCTTGAGTTAATTTTTGCATAAGGTGTAAGGAAGAGTTCCAGTTGCGATTTTTGGCATATGGCTAGCCAGTTTTCCCAGCACCATTTATTAAATAGGGAATCCTTTCCCCATTGCTTGTTTTTTGTCAGCTTTGTTGAAGATCAGATAGTTGTTGGTGTGCAAACTTATTTCTGAGATCTCTATTCTGTTCAATTGGTCTATGTGTCTGTTTTGGTACCAGTACCCTGTGTTTTGGTTACTGTAGCCTTGTAGAATAGTTTGAAGTTGGGTAGTGTGATGCCTCCAGGTTTGTTCTTTTTGCTTAGGATTGTGTTGGCTATATGGGCTCTTTTTTGGTTCCATATGTATTTAAAAGTAGTTTTTTTCTAATTCTGTGAAGAGTGTCAATGATAGTTTAATGGGAATAGTAATGAATCTGTAAATTAATTTGGGCAGTATGGCCATTTTCACAGTATTGCTTCTTCCTACCCATGAGTATGGAATTGTGTTCTTTCTGATTTCCTTGAGCAGTGGTTTGTAGTTCCTCTTGAAGAGGTCCTTCACTTCCCTTGTTAGCTGTATTCCTAGGTATTTTATTCTCTTTGTAGCAATTGTGAATGGGAGTTTATTCATGATTTGGCTCTCTGCTTTTTTATTGTTGGTATATAGGAATGCTTGGGATTTTTGCACATTGATTTTGTATTGGGAGACTTTGCTGAAGTTGCTTATCACCTTAAGAGGCTTTTGGGCTGAGACAGTAGATATAGGATCATGTCATCTGCAAAAAGAGACAGTTTTACCTTCTCTCTTTCTATTTGAATACTTTTCTTTCTTTTTCTTGCCTGATTGCCCTGACAGAACTTCTAATACTGTGTGGAATAGGTGTGGTGAGAGGGTATCCTTGTTTTGTGTGGGTTTTCAAGGGGAATGCTTCCAGCTTTGCCCATTCAGTGTAATATTAGCTGTGAGTTTGTCATAAATGGCTCTTATATTTTGAAGTATGTTCCATCAATACCTAGTTCATTGAGATTTTTTATATGAAGCAATGTTGAATTTTATCAAAGGGCTTTTCTGTGTGTATTGAGATAATCACATGGGTTTTGTCTTTAGTTCCATTTGTGTGATAAATTATGTTTATTGATTTGTACCAGCCTTGCATCCTGGGGATGAAGCTAACTTGATTGTGGTAATAATCTTTTTGATGTGTTCCTGGATTTGGCTTGCCAGTATTTTACTTAGGATTTTTGCATCAATGTTCTTCAGGGATATTGGCTTGAAGTGTTTGTTTTTGTTGTTGTATCTCTGCCAGGTTTTGGTATCAGGATGATACTGGCCTCATAAGCTGAGTTAGGGAGGAATTCCTCCTTTTCAGTTGTTTCAGATAGTTTCAGAAGAAATTATAACAACTCCTCTTTGTGTCTTTCTGGTAGAATTCAGTTGTAAATCCATCTGGTCTTGGGATTTTTTTGGTTGCTAGGCTATTTATTAGTGCCTCAATTTCAGAACTTGTTATTGGTCTATTTATGGATTCCATCTCCCTGGTTCAGTCTTGGGAGGGTGTATATATCCAGGAATATATCCATTTCTTCTAGATTTTCTAGTTTATTTGAATAGAGGTATTTATAGTATTCTCTGATTGTTGTTTTCCTGTGGATTCAGTGGTGATATCCCTTTTATCATTTTCATTGTATCTATTAGATTCTTCTTTTTGCTTCATTATTAGTCTAGCTAGCGGTCTATTTTATTAACTTTTTCAGGAAACCAGCTCCTGAATTTGCTGATTTCTTAAATGGTTTTTCATGCGTCTGTCTTCTTCACTTCTGCTCTGAAATTGGTTATTTCTTGTCTTCTGCTAGCTTAGGGGTTGGTTTGCTATTGGTCTTCTAGTTGTTTTAGTTCTGATGTTAGTGTGTCAGTTTGAGATCTTTCTAGCTTTTTGTTGTGGGCATTTAGTGTTCTAAATTTCCCTCCTAACACTGCTTTAGCTGTGTCCCAGAGATTCTGGTACATTGTCTCTTTGTTTTCATTGGTTTCAAAGAACTCTTGATTTCTGCCTTCATTTCATTATTTACCCAGGAGCCATTCAAGAGCAGGTTGTTCAATTTCCATACAGTTGTGTGGTTTTGAGTGAGTTTCTTAATCTTGAGTTCTGATTTGTTTGCTCTGTGGTCTGAGAGACTGTTATTATTTCAGTTTTTTTTGCATTTGCTGAGGAATGTTTTACTTCCAATTTTGTGATTGATTTTAGAGTAACTGCCATGTGACACTGAGAAGAATGTATATTCTTTTGTTTTGAGGGGAAGAATTCTGTACGTATCTATCAGGTCCACTTGATCCAGAGCTGAGTTCAAGTCCTAAATATCCATGTTAATTTTCTGTCTCGAAGATCTAATATTGACAGTGGGGTGTTAAAGTCTCCCACTATTATTGTGTGGGAGTTTATGTCTCTTTGTAGATATCTGTAAACTTGCTTTATTAATCTGGTTGCTCCTGTATTGGGTGCATATATATTTAGGATAGTTCTTCTCATTGAATTGAACACTTTACCATTATGTAATACCCTTCTTTGTCATTTTTGATGTTTCTTAGTTTAAAGTCTATTTTGTCAGAGACTAGGATTGCAACCCCTGCTTTTTTTCTGTTTTTCATTTGCTTGATTAATTTTCCTCTATCCCTTTTGAGCCTATGTGTGTCTTTGTGCATTAGATGGGTCTTTTGAATACAGCTCACCAATGCTTCTTGACTCTTTATACAGCTTGCTATTCTGTGTCTTTTAGTCGGGGCATTAAGCCCATTTACATTTAAGGTTAGTATTGTTACATGTTAATTCGATCCTGTCATGATTCTAGCTGGTCATTTTGCAGACTTGTTGATGTAGTTGCTTCACAGTGTCATTGGTCTTTGTACTTCAGTATGTTTTTATAGCAGCTGGTAGTGATTTTTCCTTTCCCTATTTAGTGTTTCCTTCAGGAGCTCTTGTAAGGCAAGCCTGGTGGTAACTCATTTCCTCAGCATTTGCTTGTCTGAAAAGATTTTATTTCTCTTTCAGTTATAAAGCTTAGTTTGGCCAGATATGAAATTCTGGGTTGGAAATTCTTTTCTTTAAAATGCTGAATATTGGCCCATAGTCTCTTCTGACTTGTAGGGTTTCTGCTGAGAGGTCCACTGTTAGTCTGGTGGGCTTCCCTTTGTAAGTGACCTGACCGTTCTCTCTGGCTGCCCTTAACATTTTTTTTTTTCATTTCAACCTTGGAGAATCTGATGATTTTGTGTCTTGGGGTTAAGTAAGAAGTATCTTACTGGGGTTCTCTGAATTTCCTTAATTTGAATGTTGGCCTGTTCTTGATAGGTTGGAGAAGTTCTCCTGAAAGATATCCTGAAGTACGTTTTCCAACTTGGCTTTTTTCTCCCCATCGCTTTCAGGTACCCAAATCAGTCACAGGTTCAGTCTTTTTGTATAATTCCATAGTTCTCAGAGTTTTTGTTCATTCTTTTAATTCTTTTTTCTCTAATCTTCTCTTACTCTCTTATTTCAGCAAGATCGTCTTCAAGCTCTGAAATTCTTTCCTCTGCTTGGTCTAATCACTTATTGATACCTGTGGTTGCATCGTGAAGTTCTCATGTTTTTCAGCTCCATCAGGTCATTTATGTTCCTCTCTAAACTGGTTATTCTCATTAACAGCTCCTGTAATGTTTCATCATGGTTCTTAACTTCTTTGCATTGGGTTAGAACATGCTCCTTTAGCTCAGCAGAGTTTGTTATTACCCACCATCTGAAGCCTACTTCTGTCAATTCATCCATCTCAGCCTCTATCCAATTATGTGTCTTTGCTG